CACACACACACACACACACACACACACACACACACACACGGTGCTCACCTCAGTGCAGCGAACCAAACTGCCATCAGCTAGGACCAGTTCATATGCAACACAGATGTGCTGAAACAGGCCGTAAATATGAGAAGACGATTCGATGCCTGTACCCATCACCAAACCACCTGCCAGAGAAGAGAGAGAATAAAATATGTGTTCTTGGCAATTGCATTTCTTTTCAGGTGAGAGCAACAGAGGGAAAACACATGAGCAGAAATCAGCGTTTGCCTACTGGGAGCAACGGGATAAATGAGTGTACAACAGCCTGATGGGAAAACATTAGATTGTTGATGCACAGTTTATGGCATCAGGAAATCCATAATGAAACCCGATCCAGGGGTGCTTCCAACACTGCAGCCATTTCCTCCCGGTTTCATCTTTTCAGCTCCAACATTAATCCTCTAACATGATTAGTGAAGTCTAAACAGGATACACAGATTGATGGAGGAGATGCAGGATCCAAATCACTGAGTGGTGAGCTGTGGAAATCATCAGTACGTCTCTATTTCTAGAAACCAGATGATGTCACTCGGGACTGATTTCCCAGGAAATAACCCACATTGATTGTAACCTTGACAACATACCCACGGTGAGATCATCCAGCTCTGGCAGCACCGGCAGAGTCCAGCCAATAGAAGTGAGGAGAGCTGTTACCTGGCCCATGTTGGCTAGCGGCTCAACTCTCACCACCTAAAGAACAAAGAGCACTGGTAGTAAATATCTGTTGATAGAATGAGAACACAAAATCCCAACAAACAAAAGACCAAGACTCTTACTAATTACACATTTTCATCTTATCTGTCACTGAGCCATCATTTCTGATGATTATAAGATTGTAATTAATACAATGAGGCCAGAAACACAAGAGGTATTAAACAAACAGGTTATGCATTTAAAAATAAGGTTATTGTTAACTTATTTTAAGACTCCTTTCAGATAAAGTGGTTTAATGGCCGATGACTTGTGTAATACCGGCTATGGTTTCCTTGTCTCTAGTTCCCTGCCGAAGCGATGGTTAATATTAAAAATATTAAATTGCTGCTCAAGTTGTTTGTCTCATGTCATGTTATGCTCTTTTAGGTGGTTTTAATAAACTGTGAGCTCACTATGGAATAGAGTTGTAGGGTATAGTGTCATTCTGGCTCATAAAGCAGAGCTCACTGCTCTAAATAATAGGTTAGTAATGATGTTAAAAGTTTCTGAAACAAACTTACACAAAAACATTGTACGACTATATAATTGGATTTATGGTTACAGTTGGTGTATGGTCAATAAATAAATAAATGTTAATGTTAATAAATAAATGTTGTTCAATGGGGCTGTCTATTTACTGGGTTCAGTGAGGGAACATCTGTTTTACTTCGCTTGAATTAAGGCTAATACGGTTTGTGGAGGTGTTTTATGAGCTGCATTAAACCACCATATGGGATTCAAAGTGTCAACGTACAAGATTTGCTGAGAAGTTATGTTTCTACTCTGTGTTTGAACAACCGCTCATGTCCTCAGGGTCTCATCATGGCAGGTATACTAATTTATATTTATACAGAATGTTTCATTGCATCAGCAAACTCTGAGGATAGAGCTGAGAAATGTCTGCAGACATTCACTCACAGTGAGTGCAGATTAGTAAATTATGAGACTACGTATGTGCCCTGCATACAGTGCCCAAAATCAGCCCTCTTTCTTATTTTAAAATTTCACTTTAATCCCAGAGAGCCATAAAAAAGACCCTTGTTTTATCAAACCAGAAACTCTATTTATTTTTTTAACTATGAGGCTAATGTTTTTGAGTTTAACTTTTTGTACAGAACATATTTCCATATATGACATAACAGGAAATGCGTAATAAATAACATTAGCTAACTGCAGAGGATTACAAAGACCTGAGCAATTGTTAATATTATTAGTTAGGCAGGTTATTTTCCTACTATGATCGTTTAAATGTCTGTCATGAAAAACACAACCTGTGTGATTTGTCGTACCTGCCTCTTGGTGTCCACCTCCAGAATGTCCATCATATTGATCATGATGTTTTTGTGTGTTTTCTTGTATTTTCCCACTCTGAGAGACACAGTGAGCCAGCCGGGCCGACCGGTGCACATGTGCGTCTTACTCCCGTCCTTCCTCCACTCACGCACCTGAAAATGATACATGGAAAAACATATTATCTATTTATGGCCAGATGTACAGGCATGTGCGAGTCTAATTAACAGACCAGCTGAGAAGAGTTTCCTGGCATCAAAGACTGAGGTCAAAGGTCTTGGTAACTTTTCTCTGGCCTGGAGTGAGATTTATTTACCTCTCTCCTCCTGACTAAATCCAAAGGTATTAGGTGTCTGACCTGGATGCTCCAACCCCAGTGTTTTCTCAGCGGCTGTTCTCTTTGTCTTTTCTCACTGAGTCTGATGCATTCAGACAACCAGCAAACTACATCAATACCAAAACTTTTTGATTATATTTTAATCAGACTGAAGGTTCAGAGGGGGATTCAAGTAGATAGTTTTCATTGAAACAACTTTCCTGGAGCTGTGCCACTGGCAAAACTTCTCTGGACATTTTTAGAAACAAATTTGCATCAAGAATTCCAGATGGGATTTCAATCAATTCGAGCAGAGAAAACAAGGTTCCAATTACCTTCAGGATGCTGGAGGTGAACTGAACTTTTTAAATTAGTCTTAAACTTTTTAAAGTTATTGAGTTTAAGTTGAACTGCCCCCCCCCCCACACACACCATTTGATAGGACTTGATAGGAAAGGTTGGTTACATGTGAAAACTTCAAAATGTTTAATAATATGATTGAAGTGAACACCCATTAAAAATTGTGATGTAAAATTGTGATAATAATTTACATTATGACAACAGAACATACAGAGCTAATATTGTGCAGATGATTGATATAGTGATATAACATCTGCATAAAAACATTAATAGTATTGTATTTGGATTTATTCTCATTTTTTATTTATTCTCATTCTATATATTTATTCTCATATATACATACATACTTATACATATATATCTATCTCCCTCTCACTGCATGTTACAGTTGTAGGTTGTTTGCATGATGTTTGCTTAGTATTTGAAAGTTAAAGTATAACAGTAGAACATTAGACTCCACACATGCGCGTGCACACAGACTGCTACGGCGTGGTTCGCTCACCTGTCTCTGGATGTCTCGCACGCGCTGGTCGTGCAGTTTTGGCGCAGAGCACATCTTGAATATGAGCCACGCGCGCACATAGTAATAGACATCGAATACGACGGAGAGCGGCAGCAGGAACAAACAAACAAAGATCCACCTCTGGTGCACGATCACGTAGTCTAGACCTTTGAGTCTGATCCACAGCAGCAGCAACACCACCAGTCCTCCTAAATACAGCAGCGGGGACATCTCGTCTGCTCGGGTCAGGGACAGGACTCCTCACTGAAGGACTGGGAGACAGTTTCCAGGTGAGATACCTTTGACCACTGCTGTTTCTCCCGTGGCTGAACTCAACCCAGCCTCCAAAACCCACTCCTCATCAGCCCTGCACCCTGATAGGTCAGCGGTGCGAGGTGGAGGATCAGTTACTCCCCCTGCTCCCTCCTGGTTGGTCAAAACTGGCAAGAGGGCGGGCTCGCACTCGGAAGCTCCACGCTTGTTGGGAGGAATCTAATTTTCGGGCGTTGGGCTCTCTGGTGTTTAACCAATCACGACGCAGACGTTGTCACGCCACGTAACCTGTTCCCATGGTTGTGTTGCTCCACTGTTTTCACATCAGCCCTGGAGAACAGGAGAGTAAGATAGAAAAGAAGTCAGTCTGAGTAGAGACACTTAAATATCCTGGAAAGTTGCATAAGAATCCAAACTTTATTAATTTCATCCAAGAGGTTGATTTCTACTGAACTTTTCCTTTACTTCCACCATCAATTCAAAATGTTAATGTGATAATGTCCATTGTTTTCTGACTAAGGTGTCCCTTGTTAGCCATAGACTCAAACTGAAAAGTCAAAGTGCATGTGAAAGATATTTTTATTTCAGCGTTAACAGCTGAGACAGCTGATAATGATGTACGATCGGTGAAGTGCGAGACATTGCTGTTGCAACTCTACACACTCTAGCTAAGTCTTAATTCAGGGGCTGCATCCTAAGGAGGGCATGGTCTTCCTGACCCATGAAGACTGCCTCCTTTGTTGGCCGTGCAGACCTCAAAGGTCAAATTGAAAAACTGAAAGACGCTCTGGTCTTCAGAGGCTTCAGAGGTCTTTCACCAGCTTACCACCCTTATTGCTGTTTCTTAGCAACAGAGCTGAAGTTGAACATGACAAGAAGTTGTAAGTTCCCTTGCTTTTTTAATATGTGTACCATTAACTTTCCTGTTGAAGCATAATACTCAATACAGTAAAATACTGGCCTCATTAGTGTGGGCTTGGAAGGATTCACCTGTTGGAGCCTTTGTTTTTTCTCGGGGATGGAAGGATGCAATTGTGTTCAAATGCAGCCTCCAAATGATGCAGGCCCTGAATTGGGACACAGCTTCTGGCTCCAGATGCTAAAGATAGCAGCCTTTGTATCTAGGACCTTTTGGCTTAATATCTAGATTATGGGAGGGAGCTCCATCTTGATATACAGTCAAAGGTTACAGGGGTATTTAACAAATATTACCATTCAAACATACTACAATGGTGACCACAGTACATTTTTAAGGTATTTTTAAGGTTCCCTGTTTGATTAAATGATGAACCCAGATTCATAAATAACACAAAGGACATGACTTCAGAGTTCTCAGTTGTAGTTAGATTCTGATTTATAGCCCCCAAGATCATGTCAAATCCACTAAGTCCCAAATCCCTTCCAAGTCTAAATAAACGCGTAAAATAAAAGGCTATGGGTTAGTAAAACACTAATTAACATTTTAATATTGTTTAAAGGTGGTTCAAATGATATCATGAATGTTAACATTGTAGGGATATTTATGATGAGGTTTGTTTCATAATGTGGTCTTTCAAGACAAAACTATCAAAATATTTTATTTTGAATTTAGTGAACTAATACCATGAGCTTACAAACACCCTTTTTTGTTAAAGGGTAAATTTTACTGTGTTTCAAAACGTCCAAATTATGTTTAAAGATATTAGAACGATTTCTCTCTCTCACTCCCACAGGCTCAAGTTAGCGGTACAAGAGCACACACACACACACACACACACACACACACACATACACACACACACAGGGCTAAAGTGGTACCCTTCAGACACATTAGACAGAGGGAGGGTGGGGCACCAGTAAAGATTTCTTAATGGGCTCTGCTGTCCTCTCGTCCATCTGCCCTGATGATAAACACAGCTACTCCACATTAGCCTGATCCGCATCAAAGCCTCCACTGAGTTTTTTTTCATCATTTTCCAAGAAATCATCAATTCCATCTTTTCGACTGGAGCTGAGATAAATTTTTATCATTATGGATGGAAATGATGGGAACAAATTAAGATTCTGTGAGCTTTTCCTTGTCATAAGAGTATTTCTGTAAGTGTGGAGTAAATCACTTGAATGTCTGGTGAGTGTCAGAGCGCATGGGAAGCGCACTGTGTGGGACTGTTGGTGCATGAGTGACTCTATCCCAGCCATCACAGTAACCTCAGAAACACCCACGGTCCCGGAGGAGGATGCCTTCCCTGCACCACGGAGCTATCCTCATCGGAGCCTTCCTCATTGTGACTGGGGGATCCACAGCCTTCCTGGCCTCATCCCAGAGCCGCCTGCAAGCTTTCTCCCTCTGCTGCGTGGTGCTGGGGGTGGTCATGCTCATCCTGGGGCTTTTCTGGGCAGTAAACAATGCCGTAAACTACAACCACCGGGAGTTCGACCCAGAGTGCCCACATTATCCATATGACAACCCCAACTTTGGCAGCCATGCCCTCTTCACACCCCCAGGTAGCCGCTTCCCAGAGTCCGACTCAGTGTTTCTTCCCAGGTGGGTGAAAGATGCCAGTTTTTTTTACATACTGCTGCTTATCACAGGTCAAGCTGTAATAGTAAGTGTCATCAATTTCATCCTAAAGCCAGAAAATAAGACTCCAACTATTGATGTTACAGGAGAAAAACAAGTTTTTAACCAGGATAACCATGAAATCTAATCCATTCTTCCTGCTGTTGCTCTATATTTGATCGAATCAAGGTTTCTTATATCAGTTTTCATTAATGTCCTTTGGGATAGAGCTTTACATGCACACAACTGTACCAGGGGCTTGTAAACAGAACACGACCGCACCTTTTCCCAATAATTCCTTCTGTCTTTTCTATCTTTTCCTTCTGGCTTGTCATCTTTTCAAATATACACATGGACCTTTAAATCTAAGCCCTGCAGAAACTGTGCTTGATTAATAGAAAAAGGATTAAAATACTGCCCTCAGTTATCTAAATATTCCACTAAAGCTAAACGGAAGTGCTGACTTGAATTTGTAGGGAGGAGCAGTGGAAGTAGTGTGAATAGTTGGAAATGTAAAAAAAAAAAAAAAGGAATGCAGAACATAAAGTGAAGCATAAGCAGTGTATGGTCATAAATAAATGATGTGAAAGGATGTTCACAAATGATTTCACAGCCCGGAGTTGTATATAACCTTCTGAGTGCAATTTGTAAAATAAAAAATAAATCCTATAAATTGCAGTTCATAATTGTGGATGAAAGTTTTGCTGCTGTAGAAATATTTTGTGCATATGTGAAAAGACATCACAAAGAGTTTTTGTTGCTATAGAAGTATGGAATTGTCAGTGTGTTACTTTGCCCTTGCTTTATGCTCCTTGTGTAACTAGTGTGAGTAATCTTTCAAGATATTGATTATATATTGCATAGAGGGGGAAAGACTCTTTCATGATGACTTAAAATGTGATGTCATAATACTATAATTCAGATGGCAGCTCAAATAATGATTTACCAATCTGCTACAGAGGAATTACATCCCAGTGGGAGGAGAAACGTTTAACATCCTGCTTCAACAAATTGTCTCCTGGAAGTCAAGTCAAGTCCTGGCTTGCTGTGTACACATGTACACCTCTGTGTCTGCAGAACTAACAATTATTTTAAAGTATCTATGTCTAATTGGTTCAACCTCTAAAACAAATGAAAAGTGTAAAACCAAACAAGACACATTAAACACAGAAGCTATAACATGTTAATTAGTACGCAAGAGACAAATTTCTTTTTTTTTTTGGATTCTCTTTAGTACCACCTACTGTCAAATACAAGTAGTGAGGGAATGGAAGAACAGGAAGTAGTGTTGAGGGACTTCCTTTTCCTTCATTTCATGAATACTGATTTACTTTTAAGCACCTGTTCACATTGGTTGTCAGTGGTATTTTCTCCAGAGAAATTGTTCAGTTAGTACTTACAAAGGTGCTTGTTTCTATTTGGCAGCATGTTATTATTAATTTATTAATATTATTTAAATCTTCCTCCATTAAATCCTGTCAAATACAACAACCTGCTTGTTCCTCCAGGGATTCAATGCTGGAAAATGTAACTTGTCTGGTTAGATGTGTAATAGTTACTAAAATAAAGTCTAAAATAGACCCATGGCAGGAATTACAGATAGCAATGAACAGATCACACCCACCTGACATTTAGGATCTGATATCTAGTATCTTCTACATGGCTTTATTTAACCTGTGTTCTAACTGCATCTGCAGGACGATGGAACGCCACAGGCATGGTGCTCGTGGCGAGGAGTTCGACTACCCTCCGATGGACTCCAGTCCAACGCCTCACCCTCCCCCTTGGCTGGGACCCCCTCCTCCCTATGAGGTTGCCATCAAGACCACGTGCAGCTCCACACACCTGCGGCGTGCGTACTCAGACACACACCTGGCGACAGAGATGCTGTTTGGACAGTCAAGAGAGATCAGCTTTGAGGTGTGATGCTGGATAACGTGGACGCCCCATGCAGCACTCTGCTCATCAGAACAAAAGATGAATGAACCAGCGACTGAGATCACTCAGACTCTACGGAAACTGTCTTTTGACCACAACAAACGTATTCAAACAGTTGGAGCATGCTTCTTTCTTGGGTCCTAGCATGATTTCTGTTATGACAATGCAGGTGTTACCAAATATTCAAATATATTGTAAAAATAAAGATGGATCCCACCAAAAAATGTGTCTCAATAAAGTGTTTGGTTACTGAGCCACAGATCTGCTGCATCTTGAAGAAAATTATACAAGTGTTTTAAACATCATGCACAACTTGTTACAAGTTTGGTTGAGACCAGCTCATTCTACAGGGTCGGGGTTAGAGGGTTAATAATTTGCAGCAACCATGCTTGGGGAGCAGAGGGGTGGAGCCTGACTGAGAGCTGGATGACATGGCACGCCCACCTATGGAATTGCACAACCCTAACGTAAAATGATTTTA